AAAGTTTAGGAAAGAGTGCTGTAAATAATAGGCAACGGTAAAGTTTAGAAAGGAGTACTGTAAATAATAGACTTCGGTAAAGTTTAGGAAAGAGTGCTGTAAATAATAGACCACGGTAAAGTTTAGAAAAGGGTGCTCTAAATAATAGACAACGGTTAAGTTTAAAAAAGAGTGCTGTAAATATTAGACCACGGTAAAGGTTAGAAAAGAGTGCTGTAAATAAAAGACCACTGCAAATTAGAAAAGAGTGCTGTAAATGATAGACCACTGTTATTTAGAAAAGAGTGGTGTAAATGTTAGACCACGGTAAAGCTTAGAAAAGAATGCTGAAAATAATAGACCACTGTTAATTAGAAAAGATTGCTGTCAATAATAGACCACTGTTAATTAGAAAAGAGTGCTGTAAATAATAGACCACGGTAAAGTTTAGAAAAGAGTGCTGTAAATGATAGACCACGGTAAAGTTTAGGAAATAGTGCTGTAAATAATAGACCACGGAAAAGTTAAGAAAAGAATGCTGAAAATAATAGACCACTGTTAATTAAAAAAGAGTGCTGTAAATGATAGACCACAGTAAAGTTTAGAAAAGAATGCTGGAAATATTAGACCACTGTTAATTAGAAACGAGTGCTGTAGTGATAGACCACGGTAAAGTTTAGAAAAGAATGCTGAAAATAATAAACCACTGTTAATTAGAAAAAAGTGCTGTAAATATTAGACCAGGGTAAAGTAAAGAACAGAGTGCTGTAAATATTAGACCACGGTAAAGTAAAGAACAGAGTGCTGTAAATATTAGACCACGGTAAATTAGAAACGAGTGCTGTAAATAATAGACCACGGTAAAGTTTAGGAATGAGTGCTGTAAATAATAAACCACGGTAAAGTTTAGAAAAGAGTGCTGTAAATGATAGACCACGGTAAAGTCGCAGCCTAAATTCAATTATGTCCAGACCCAGCTGTCTCCGTCTCTGTCCGTTTGTCTCCCAGACAACCACGTGTTAAAGTATTAGGCGGGAATGGGATGCCCGCCTCGCGTTTACTGGTGACTGATCTGATCGACATTATTGACTTTCACTGTGGGAATAGTTTGGCCTTTCAACGGAGAGCAATATTTCAAAATATTAGGGATACGATCATGACAGTGGAAATACCTCGCAGCCATCAATGAAAACAATCTATCAGTTCCTTTACATTGCAGGCATCTGTCATTAGCTGCGTAAGTTACTTAGACCGACTGATAATCAATGTAAAGACGGACCTGTTTTGACAAGGACGCCAGCCTCTAATCTGTACTGTAGTATATAGGCAGGGTAAGCCATCAATCCATCGATCTGTGCCGTCAAAGTCCTTTATCAGGATACAGACATCGAATGTTCCCCGGTGAGGATTCTAGCCACATTGTAACAAGATCTACTTTATTTAACATGTCCTATCACATTATGTAATTGTCCGACGTTTTTACTACATCCCCTTCTAATCTTACAACAATGGTCCGGCCAGTTTTATTACATAACTGGTAAATCTTACTACAGTGATACAGCCAGTTTTATCACAAACCTGGTAAATTTTACTATAGTGATACAGCAAGTTTTATCACATACCTGGTAAATCTTACTATAGTGATACAGCCAGTTTTATCACAAACCTGGTAAATTTTACTATAAAGATACAGCCAGTTGTATTTCATACCTGGTAAATCTTACTACAGTGATACAGCCAGTTGTATTACAAACCTGGTAAATTTTATTATAAAGATACAGCCAATTTTATCACATACCTGGTAAATTTTACTATAAAGATACAGCCAGTTGTATTTCATACCTGGTAAATCTTACTACAGTGATACAGCCAGTTGTATTACAAACCTGGTAAATTTTACTATAAAGATACAGCCAATTTTATCACATACCTGGTAAATTTTACTACAGTAATACAGCGATTGTTATTTCATACCTGGTAAATCTTACTATAGTAATACAGCGAGTTTTATCACATACCTGGTGAATATTACTACAGGGATACCGCGAGTTTTATAACATACCTGGCAAATCTTTTTATAGTGATAAAGTCCCTTTTATTATATACCTGATGTATCTTACTATAGTGATACCGCCAGTTTTATTATATACCTGATGTATCTTACTATAGTGATACCGCCAGTTTTATTACATACCTGGTAAATCTTACTATAGTGATACAGCTAGTTTTATTACATACCTGGTAAATCTTACTATTTCGTCTTTTCGTATTGCAGAGTTATCTTCTCTTATGAGCAGGTATTGATTGTTACGTCATTTGTTTGTGAGATTAACGTCATCAATGTTTGAGAAAACGACGTAATTTTCTCACACAAACCAATGACGGAACAATCAATACCTGCTCACAAGAGAAGTTAACTCTGCAATACGCAAAGATGGAATAGTGATACAGAGAGTTTTATTTCTTAACGGGAAAATCTTACTACAGTGACACAGCCATTTTTATTACATACCTGATGTATCTTACTATAGTGATACAGCGATTTTTATCATATACCTGGGTAATCTTAACTCCCTGACAATTTCAAACTCACTATATAACCAGAATCGGCCATTCTGATATACTAATAACCGAAATGGTCCATTGCAATTTGATGAACACATATATGTCGTATACATGTTATAGTTCCGCCAACATTTATCATGACCCCGCGAAATTGTTAAATTTGTTTCCCTAAAATGTGAACCGAAGAAAGATGTCGGACAAACTGTTTAGATACGGAACTTTGACTGCCATGTTACCATAACGTAGAACGATGCTAAAATGTCCGGAAATTGTTCTTGTTTCGGTTTGATTTGATGTGTTGATAACAGCCGACGAATCCAGCCAGTTCTGGCTACTGCATGGTGGCTTATTTGTGCCATTTCATTATTTCGTTATTTCGATTTGAAATTATAAAATGTAGTTGTTTCTTAATTTCGCGGCGAAATAACGACATTATATTTGTATCTAAATTGTCGTCATCTCGTAGACAACAAAAAGCGAGCGAAAAGACGAAATCATTACGCGAAAAGACGAGATGACGACATTTACTTATTCACGCGGACTTCGATTAAAGTTTCATTTTATTGCTGGTTTGGTGACGTTGTGGATAGCACAGCAACCTTACAACAAGACAGCCGGGGTTCGATTCCCCATTTGGACGTGAAAGGTATGGGGTCACCTGCCCGACCACGTGGGTTGTTCTCCTGGTACTCTGATGTTCACCAAGTCGGACCCCAAATAGTCTTCCAGTTTCTCCGATCGGTTTCTATCTAGTCTAATCTTTCAGCAGATTCGCAATTGATCACGACGGCCATGGTTCCATTCTCTGAAGAGACGTTGGAGATATTGGGTTGCCTGCCTACCTTGTTTCACATAATCTGTACAAGGTATTTTTCATTGTTTTTCCTCCTACGTTCAACGATTAACTTTTAATTTAAGTTAACAAAACCAGGACATGATTTTACTTTTACAAGACGTCGAATCCGTCCTGATCCGGGTTTACAAAACGAAAACGATTACATGGGAGGGGAGGCAACTCATATCAGCGTAACGATCTACATCAGCATTCACATCACTTTGTTCTTCATGCCCTTAAGGATAAAACATGGACTGAAGTATTATATACAAATTTTCTCTCAGTTTTACGGAACCGATTTCAATATTTGTCTGGCAAAGAGGTATGGCGGAAAACTGCCCGTATTTCCTTAAGTCGGCATTTATGAAAACGGGGAAAAAAATTAAGGATTAAAGCACTTCGGGTAGCAAAAATGCATACAAAAGATACAAAACCAATTGAATATGAATTTTGAAACTGCTGAGAAATTTGGTATTGCTAATATGATACTGCAAATATAGCCAAATACACTATATCTATGAAAGTGATGGGGTTTCCCGGACTCAAAATAATGAAAAACAGGGGTGATTAAGTTTCTCTAAACTGCGACCGGTGTTTCTCGCGTTGAATAAGTTTCCAATTGCCAATATCTATATGTTCTTTGTAGCCGAATGTGTAACGCAGTTTACTTGCGACTAGAAAATAAACTGTGCAGGTTCGAATCCTCCTTCAGTTATTTTTTTTTTAAATATTTAGGCATGTGATCATTTTCCTTAATAAGGCAATATTATTATTTTTTAAATCGATGGAAACTTTTGTTTTCATTTTAATAACATACCTATTGATTCATCAGTTTTGTTAGTAATAATTTCTTTATTATTTAGTGCGACATACTTTTATCGGAGCATGTCAACAAATCCCTGTACACGTGTACAGTACAGCTACGCTTTGTAGGTAAGACTATTTTTGATGAAATTTATGAATTGTTTTACCCTCCAACTGGCAATAGTAATTATATCAAGTGCTTAAACACCAACAAATAATGCCGAAATACCAAATATGTGGTCTGTTTACAATAATCTATTCTTAGACACGGGATTCCGATATTGCTACCTGTATAAAAATACCTGAGGACGCGTCATAACAGTGCACGGTTGGTGCGCGCGCTAGCGTAACATGGCTTTGGGGAAATAGGCATAGCAACCCGCCATATCTCTTTCATCAACCAGACAGTAAAATATTCATAATTAGGTCACTAAATTGACCTTAAGGCCCGTGGTGTAAATTTACTATGTCTGACCGATGCATTTTTCTTTCTCCTGTTACAAAATTGGCGAGCTTATCCACCCTTGTTTCAAGTAATGGGTGAATGCTTGGCAAAGGGATTTCTTTATCTGAGTTTTTAATAGTTGTGTCTCTGGGAGCGAAGACGTAGAAAAAGGAGGCAGGAATGTCAGATAGCTCAATTGGGGGTCCCGGGTTCGTACCCCGGTCTGGACGTTGTAATTCTCTGTGCCCTGTTACACAGTGTACACAAATAAACCTCTATGTTTGTGACCTGAATTTCGATAAATTTGATTAAATTTGAATTGATTAAACTAAAACTATTTGTTTTATCTAAATAAGATACAGCACAGTCGAGTATGTTAACAAGTTATTTCCTTTATTTCCATATTATATACATGAGGTCACGTGACGTGGCTACCACGTGACGAGATAGTAACTTCCGGCGTCCTGCCTTGAATCGGCACTTCCTCCTAAGATGTCGTAGATCTGAGGTGTATGACCGCACAGCTGTGTTGCCATCTGGAGGAGAAAATATAACTTGAAATTAATCACTGAAACTTCAAAAAAAACTTCTATTGAAAATTAATATAAACTGTTGTATCCTTCTAATCAACGCAGAAAAGGTGGTGCTTCCACCGAGTACATGCATCAATGCGCATGCAAGAAGCTCTAGAAGAACTTTATGAAAATTCTTTTCGAATATCTTTATATCATTTAAGTTTATAATCATTTATGCACCCGTTGAATTCTTGGCTATTTCAGTTTGATAATAATACGTTCAATCATGTTATTTTTATTCTCGACACAAAATGGTTCATAATGCTGGTTGACTATCAGTTCCCGAAATTAAACCTAACCTTGAATTTTGTTATTTACATGAACGCAGTCAATTTGAAAGATTGGTTCAAAACTGAATGATTTATTGAAGCCAAAAGTTGTACCTGTGTAATGTTTCCAGTGTTTTAAAGACAGATTTCTTACTTTGTTTCTACGCTTCAGAATATTTTAGTCGTAGATTTTCATTCTTTGGCATTCAGTGCCAACTGTTTACATCAATTGGCTTTCTACATCGAGTTATTGCTTCATTTCTACATCGAATTATTGCTTCGTTTCTACACCGAGTTATTGCTTCATTTCTACATCGAGTTACTGTTTCATTTCTACATCGAGTTATTGCTCCATCTCTACATCGAGTTATTGCTTCATTTCTACATCGAGTTACTGTTTCATTTCTGCATCGAGTTACTGCTTCATTTCTACATCGAGTTATTGCTTCATTTCTACATCGAGTTACTGCTTCATTTCTATATCGAGTTATTGCTTCACTTCTACATTGAGTTACTGCTTCATTTCTGTATCGAGTTACTGCTTCATTTCTACACCGAGTTACTGCTTCATTTCTACATCGAGTTATTGCTTCATTTCTACATCGAGTTATTGCTTCATTTCTACATCGAGTTACTGCTTCATTTCTACATCGAGTTACTGCTTCATTTCTACATCGAGTAATTGCTTCATCTCTACATCGAGTTATTGCTTCATTTCTACACCGAGTTATTGCTCCATCTCTACATCGAGTTATTGCTTCATTTCTACATCGAGTTATTGCTTCATTAATACACCGATTTATTGCTTCATTTCTGTATCGAGTTAGTGCTTCACTTCTACATCGAGGCACTGCTTCATTTCTACACCGAGTTATTGCTCCATCTCTAGATCGAGTTATTGCTTCATTGCTGTATCGAGTTATTGCTTCGTTTCTACATCGAGTTATTGGTTCATCTCTACATCGAGTTAATGCTTCATTTCTACACCGATTTATTGCTCCATCTCTACATCGAGTTAATGCTTCATTTCTACACCGAGTTATTGCTCCATCTCTAGATCGAGTTATTGCTTCATTTCTGCATCGAGTTATTGCGTCATTTCTGTATCGAGTTACTGCTTCAGTTCTGTATCGAGTTACTGCTTCATGTCTACATCGAGTTACTGTTTCATTTCTACATCGAGCAATTGCTTCATCTCTACATCAAGTTACTGCTTCATTTCTTCATCGAGTTACTGCTTCGTTTCTACATCGAGTAATTGCTTCACCTCTACATCGAGTCACTGCTTCATTTATACATCGCGTTATTGCTTCATCTCTGCATCGAGTTATTGCGTCATTTCTGTATCGAGTTATAGCTTCATTTCTACATCGAGCAATTGCTTCATCTCTACAGCGAGTTATTGCTTCATTGCTGTATCGAGTTATTGCATCACCTCTACATCGAGTCACTGCTTCATTTATACATAGAGTTATTGCTTCATCTCTACATCGCGTTATTGCTTCATCTCTGCATCGAGTTATTGCGTCATTTCTGTATCGAGTTATAGCTTCATTTCTACATCGCGTTACTGCTTCATTTCCCCCTCGAGTAATTGCTTCATCTCTCCATCGAGTTATTGCTTCATTCCTGTACCGAGTTATTGCTTCATTGCTGTATCGAGTTATTGCATCACCTCTACATCGAGTCACTGCTTCATTTATACATCGAGTTATTGTTTCCGCCCTACATGGAGTTACTGCTTCATTTATACATAGAGTTATTGCTTCATCTCTGCATCGAGTTATTGCGTCATTTCTGTATCGAGTTTTTGCTTCATTTCTACATCGTGTTACTGCTTCATTTCTGTATCGAGTTATAGCTTCATTTCTACATCGCGTTACTGCTTCATTTCCCCCTCGAGTAATTGCTTCATATCTACATCGAGTTACTGATTCATTTCTGTATCGAGTAATTGCTTCACCTCTACATCGAGTCACTGCTTCATATCTACATCGAGTTACTGATTCATTTCTGTATCGAGTAATTGCTTCATATCTACATCGAGTTACTGCTTTATTTCTACATCGAGTTAGTGCTTCACTTCTACATCGAGGCACTGCTTCATTTCTACACCGAGTTATTGCTACATTTCTACATCGAGTTATTGGTTCATCTCTACATCGAGGTACTGCTTCATTTCTGTATCGAGATATTGCTTCATCTCTACAGCGAGTTATTGCTTCATTGCTGTATCGAGTTATTGCATCACCTCTACATCGAGTCACTGCTTCATATCTACATCGAGTTACTGATTCATTTCTGTATCGAGTAATTGCTTCATATCTACATCGAGTTACTGTTTCATTTCTACATCGAGTCACTGCTTCATTTCGACATCGAGTTACTGCGTCATTTCCACATCGAGGTATTGCTTCATTTCTACAACGAGTTATTGCTCCATCTCTACATCGAGTTATTCCTTCATTTCTACACCGAGGTATTGCTCCATCTCTACATCGAGTTACTGCTTCATTTCTGTATCGAGTTACTGCTTCAATACTTCATATTGTTTACGTCTTTGTTCTCTTATTAATCCAAGTTATTGCATCGTTCTATCCATTTACAAAGTTTTAATTCATCAAACCCTTAAAACACGCGAATAAATTATAGAACATTTTAATTTCTTTGTTAGCATACATATAAAACAAAGATTTAGACGCCGTACAGAATAACCACCCTCTAACTTTACCATAAGTTTATACCTTGAATCCGTTTGGAAGACAATCCAGCAGAATACCACTCAGAGAAGATCCGTCCATTACGTAGTTTCCGAGCAGGAAGGTAGAGATAGGGCTAAACTTTGGTATGTTAGCACAGTTGCCTAAAACCTACGATAAATGATGACGACATAGCAAGATTGTTTCTCACAGCATTTATTCTAATAAACATAATAATAATATACAACACAATGACAAAATATCGGAACCCTACGTATTAATTTATCATACAAGTAATGAACCATGTTTCCGTTCCTGGATAATTTAACCTTCTCAATAAAGTTGTTAGTTAAATAAACATTAGTATAGAATTCCTGTAATGTAAATACAACATATAATCAAATTTATAGGACTGATATAGTGCGGAGGGTGTGGGTGTGAGGGAATATATGCAAAAGAGAGTTGTATAGGGTGTTGACGAATATGGGGGAGTGTGTGTGTGGTGATGTTGGATGCGTGCGTCAGGGAGGGAGAAATATTTATGTTTTGTTGGAAGATATGAGGGTAATTGTGTTTGTGACGGAGGAAGAATTATTGGTGTGCATGAGAGAGAGAGAGAGAGATAGAGGGAGAGAGAGAGAGAGAGAGAGAGAGAGAGAGAGAGAGAGAGAGAGAGAGAGAGAGAGAGAGAGAGAGAGAGAGAGAGAGAGAGAGAGAGAGAGAGAGAGAGAGAGAGAGAGAGAGAGAGAGAGAGAGAGAGAGAGAGAGAGAGAGAGAGAGAGAGAGAGAGAGAGAGAGAGAGAGAGAGAGAGAGAGAGAGAGAGAGAGAGAGAGAGAGAGAGAGAGAGAGGTGTCGTTGGAGTAGTACAAGTTTGAGTGGAAGGAATGTGTATAAATTCAGTAACTGATACTCACTTAATTGACATATTATCATAGACGTGGTGGTCTAGCATCTGCATGTCTGGTTTCAAATACGTTTTTTCAGTTCGAAACGAAAATATCTTAATATCCTCAACATACAAAACTTCAATAACGTTTAATGTTATCAACTAATGAAAACCACCTTTAATATGCTAGCTTATATGGGCATTGCACCTTTTGGCAAATTCCTTTTTAAGATGTATATTTAACAGAATCTTGTTTAATTGGAAAACAAATGATAATTTAACAATGATTTAACACCTAAGGCAGAACATAACCTGAGTTGAAATGCTGGTTACGAAAATAACACATACCTGTCCACCCTGCCGCCACTGCACTGGGGCTGGAGCGCTACATGCTTGCAATACCAGAGCCTCGGATTGACTTCGGGAGGCGTCGGCACAAAATCCCGCCAGTGGGTGGGTGATTAGATTTGTGTTTGCCAGATCAGAAACTAGTGTCAGTTGGTCACAAGTGTTTTCTTTATTAAAAAAATATCTGTTTTATTGATTTATTAGAATACACAATGGTATACCTAGCGATCAACGGGAGTTTAATTGATATTAGAAATGCTTGCGAACATAAAGCTAAGCTAAATTCCATTTTTTTACATAAGTAAAGATAAAAAATAAAAAAATAAAAAAAATGTTGTATTTTGGTATAATGATTTCATATATCTTAACAAGATCCCATTCACCACAAAGGAAAGAGAATATATTATTAACTAAGATTCCATACACCACGAGGAGGGAGTGAATATTTCTTTCTGAGATCCTGTATACAACGAGGAAGGGGTATATTCCTTTCTGAGATTCGGTACACAACGAAAAGGGAGTGAATATTGCTAACTGGGATCATATACCCCACGACGGAGGATGAATATTGCTAACTGAGGTCCCATACACCATGAGGAGAGAGTGAATATTGATTACTGATATCACATACATCTCGAAGGAGCGAATGAACATTGCTAACTGGGATCTTATACATCACGACGGAGGATGAATATTGCTAACTGAGGTCCCATACACCATGAGGAGAGAGTGAATATTGATTATTAATATCACATACACCTCGAAGGAGCGAGTGAATATTTCTAATTCAGATTCCATACACCACGTGTAGCGAGTGAATGTTGCTTACTGATATTCATACACCTCGAAGGAGCAAGTGAATATTGCTTACTGGGATCATATACACCCCGAGGAGGGAGTGAATATTGCTACCTAAGATCCCTTTCACCACCAGGAGGGAGTAAATATCGCTAACTGAGATCCATACACCTCGAACGAGCGATTAAATATTGCTAACCGATATCCTGTACACCACGAGGACGGAGTAAATATTACCTACTCAGATCCGCTACACCACGAAGGGGGAGTGAATATTGCTAACTGAGATCCAATACACACCAAGTAGGGTGTGAATATTCCAACTAAGATACCATACAAATCGACGGAGGGAGTAAATATTACTTACTCAGATCCACTACACCACGAGGGGGGAGTGAATATTGCTTTCTGAGATCCCATACACCATGATGGAGGGAGGGATTATTATTTAATGAGACAACATACACCTCGTAGGGGGAAATACTATTACTTAAAACAGAAACCCCTGACACTTATTGGCTATTATCACTGTAAGCACACACTACTCTATTGACACTTAGAGGCTGGTATCACTGTTAGCAAACACTACTCTATTGACACTTACAGGCTGGTATCACTGTAAGCCCACACTACTCTATTGACACTTAGTGGCTGGTATCACTGTAAGCACACACTACTCTATTGACACTGAGAGGCTGGTAAAACTGTTAGCAAACACTACTCTATTGACACTTAGAGGCTGGTATCACTGTTAGCAAACACTACTCTATTGACACTTAAAGGCTGGTATCACTGTATGCACACACTACTCTATTGACACTTAGTGACTAGTATCACTGTAAGCACCCACTACTCTATTGACACTTTGTGGCTGGGATCACTGTTAGCACACACTACTCTATTGACACCCAATGGCTGGGATCACTGTAAGCACACACTACTCTATTGTCACTTAGTGGCTGGTATCACTGTAAGCACCCACTACTCTATTGACACTTTGTGGCTGGTATTACTGTTAGCACACACTACTCTATTGACGCTTAGTGGCTGGTATCATTGTAAGCACACACTACTCTATTGACACATAGGGACTAGTATCACTGTTAGCACACACTACTCTATTGTCACTTAGTGGCTGGTATCACTGTAAGCGTAAGCACACACTACTCTATTGACACTTTGTGGCTGGTATTACTGTTAGCACACACTACTCTATTGACACTGAGAGGTTGGTATCACTGTAAGCAAACACTAGACACTTAGTGGCTGTTATCACTGTAAGCAAACACTACTCTATTGACACTTAGTGACTAGTATTGACACTTAGTGACTAGTATCACTGTAAGCACACACGACTCTATTGACACTGAGAGGCTGGTATCTCTGTAAGCACACACTACTCTATTGACACATAGGGACTAGTATCACTGTTAGCACACACTACTCTATTGACGCTTAGTGGCTGGTATCACTCTAAGCACACACTACTCTATTGACACTTAGAGGCTGGTATCACTGTAAGCACACACTGCTCTATTGACACTTAGTGGCTGGTATCAATGTAAGCACACACTACTCTATTGACACCTTGTGGCTGGGATCACTGTAAGCAAACACTACTCTATTGACTTGACACTTAGTGGCTGGTATCACTGTAAGCACATACTACTCTATTGACACTTAGTGGCTGGGATCACTGTTAGCACACAATACTCTATTGACACTGAGAGGCTGGTAAAACTGTTAGCAAAAACTACTCTATTGACACTTACAGGCTGGTATCACTGTAAGCCCACACTACTCTATTGACACTTAGTGGCTGTTATCACTGTAGGCACACACTAAACTATTGACACTGAGAGGCTGGTATCACTGTAAGCCCACACTACTCTATTGACACTTAGTGGCTGGGATCACTGTTAGCACACACTACTCTATTGACACTTAGAGGCTGGTATCACTGGTAGCAAACACTACTCTATTTACACTTACAGGCTGGTATCACTGTAAGCACACACTGCTCTATTGACACTTAGTGGCTGGTATCAATGTAAGCACACACTAATCTATTGACACTTAGTGGCTGGTATCAATGTAAGCACACACTACTCTATTGACACATAGGGACTAGTATCACTGTTAGCACACACTACTCTATTGACGCTGTGCGGCTGGCATCACTTTCAGAACACACTTCTCTATTGACACTGAGAGGCTGGGATCACTGTTAGCAAAAACTACTCTATTGACACTTACAGGCTGGGATCACTGTAAGCACACACTACTCTATTGTCACTTAGTGGCTGGTATCACTGTAAGCACATACTACTCTATTGACACTTAGTGGCTGTGACACTTAGTGGCTGGTATCACTGTAAGCACCCACTACTCTATTGACACTTTGTGGCTGGTATTACTGTTAGCACACACTACTCTATTGACACTTAGTGACTAGTATCACTGTAAGCACACACGACTCTATTGACACTTAGTGGCTGGTATCAATGTAAACCCACATTGTTCTATTGACACTTAGTGGCTGGTATCACCGTAAGCAAACACTACTCTATTTACACTTACAGGCTGGTATCACTGTAAGCACACACTGCTCTATTGACACTTAGTGACTAGTGAGAGGCTGGTATCACTGTAATCACACACTATTATATTGACACCTTGTGGCTGGGATCACTGTAAGCAAACACTACTCTATTGACACTTAGTGACTAGTATTGACACTTAGTGACTAGTATCACTGTAAGCACCCACTACTCTATTGACACTTTGTGGCTGGGATCACTGTTAGCACACACTACTCTATTGACACTGAGACGCTGGTATCACTGTTAGCACACACTACTCTATTGACGCTGTGCGGCTGGCATCACTTTCAGAACACACTTCTCTATTGACACTGAGAGGCTGGTATCACTGTTATCACAAGCTACTCTATTGACACTTAGTGGCTGGGATCACTGTAAGCACCCACTACTCTATTTACACTTAGTGGCTGGTATCACTGTAAGCACCCACTACTCTATTGACACTTTGTGGCTGGGATCACTGTTAGCACACACTACTCTATTGTCACTTAGTGGCTGGTATCACTGTAAGCACATACTACTCTATTGACACTTAGTGGCTGTGACACTTAGTGGCTGGTATCACTGTAAACCCAAATTGTTCTATTGACACTTAGTGGCTGGTATCAATGTAAACCCACATTGTTCTATTGACACTTAGTGGCTGGGATCACTGTAAGCACCCACTACTCTATTGACACTTTGTGGCTGGTATTACTGTTAGCACACACTACTCTATTGACGCTGAGAGGCTGGTATCACTGTTATCACAAGCTACTCTATTGACACTGAGAGGCTGGGATCACTGTTAGGAAACACTACTCTATTGACACTTACAGGCTGGGATCACTGTAAGCACACCCTACTCTATTGACACTTAGTGGCTGTTATCACTGTAAGCAAACACTACTCTATTGACACTGAGACGCTGGTATCACTGTTAGCACACACTACTCTATTGACACTGAGAGGTTGGTATCACTGTAAGCACGCACTACTCTATTGACACTGAGACGCTGGTATCACTGTTATCACAAGCTACTCTATTGACACCCTGTGACTGGTATCACTGTTAGCAGACGCTACTCTATTGACACTTTGTGGCTGGTATCACTGTTAGCACACACTACTCTATTGACGCTGAGAGGCTGGTATCACTGTCAGCACACACTTCTCTATTGACACTGAGAGGTTGGTATCATTGTAAGCACACACTACTCTATTGACACTGAGAGGCTGGTATCACTGTAAGCACACACTTCTCTATTGACACTGAGAGGTTGGTATCACTGTAAGCAAACACTACTCTATTGACACTGAGACGCTGGTATCACTGTAAGCACACACTACTCTATGGCTGGTATCACTGTAAGCAAACACTCCTCTATTGACACTTAGTGGCTAGTATCACTGTAAGCACATGCTACTCTATTGACACTGAGACGCTGTTATCACTGTTATCACAAGCTACTCTACTGACTCTCTACTTAGTGACTGTTATCACTGTAGGCACGCACTAATCTATTGACACTGAGAGGCTGGTGTCACTGTAAGCACACACTGCTCTATTGACACTTAGTAACTAGTATCACTGTAAGCACATGCTACTCTATTGACACTGAGTGAGAGGCTGGTATCACTGTTATCACACACTACTCTATTGCCACTTAGAGACTGGTATCACTGTTAGCACACACTACTCTATTGACGCTTAGTGGCTGGTATCACTCTAAGCACACACTACTCTATTGACACTTAGCAACTAGTATCACTGTAAGCACACACTGGTCTATTGACACTTAGTGACTAGTATCCCTGTAAGCACACACTGCTCTATTCACACTTAGTGACTAGTATCACTGTTAGCACACACTACTCTATTGACACTTAGTAACTAGTATCACTGTAAGCACACACTGCTCTATTGACACTTAGTGACTAGTATCACTGTTATCATCCACTACTCTATTGACACCTTGTGGCTGGTATCACTGTAAGCACACACTACTCTATTGACACTTAGTGGCTGGTATCACTGTAAGCACATACTACTCTATTGACACTTAGTGAGTATCACTGTTAGCACACACTACTCTATTGACGCTTAGTGGCTGGTATCACTCAAAGCACACACTACTCTATTGACACTTAGTGACTGGTATCACTGTAAGCACACACTACTCTATTGACACTTAGTGTCTAGTATCACTGTTAGCACACACTACTCTATTGACACTTAGTGACTGGTATCACTGTAAGCTTAGTGGCTGGTATCAATGTTAACCCACACTATTCTATTGACACTTAGTGTCTAGTATCACTGTTATCATCCACTACTCTATTGACACTTTGGGGCTGGTATCACTGTTATCACCCACTACTCTATTGCCACTTAGTGACTGGTATCCCTGTAAGCACCCACTACTCTATTGAAACGTAGTGTCTAGTATCACTTGTAAGCACACACTACTTTATTGACACTGAGAGGCTGGGATCACTGGAAGCACACACTACTCTAATGACACTTTGTGGCTGGTTTCACTGTTATCATTCAATATTATATTTACACCTTGTGACTGGGATCACTGTAAGCACACATTGTTCTATTGACACTTAGAGGCTGGTATCACTGTTAGCATACACTTCTCTATTGACACTGAGAGGCTGGTATCACTACACACTACTCTATTGACTCTTAGTGACTGGTATCACTGTAAGAGACGCTGGTATCACTGTTATCATATACTATTATATTGACACCTTGTGGCTGGGATCACTTTTATCATACACTATTATGTTGACACCTTGTGACTGGGGGATCACTGTTAGCACACACGACTTTATTGCCACTTACAGGCTGGTATCCCTGTTATCACAAGCTACTCTCTCTATTGACACTTAGTGGCTATTATTACTGTAAGCACACACTATTCTATTGACACTTAGTGATTGGTATCACTGTAAGCACTAATCTATTGACACTTAGTGACTAGTATCAATGTAAGCACACACTACTTTATTGACACTTAGTGACTTGTATTAGTATAAGTCTACACTACTCTATTGAAACGTAGTGTCTAGTATCACTGTTAGCCCACACTACTCTATTGACACCTTGTGGCTGGGTTCACTGTAAGCAAACACTTCTCTATTGACACTGAGAGGCTGGGATCACTGTAAACACACACTACTCTATTTGCACTTAGAGGCTGGTATCACTGTTAACCCACATTTTTTTATTGACACTTTGTGGCTGGGATCACCGTTTTCATACACTATTATATTGACACCTTGTGACTGGTATCACTGTTAGCACACACGACTTTATTGACACTTACAGGCTGGTATCACTGTTATCACAAGCTACTCTATTGACACTGAGAGGCTGGTATCACTGTAAGCAGACGCTACTCTATTGACACCTTGTGGCTGGTATCACTGTAAGCAAACACTTCTCTATTGACACTGAGACGCTGGTATCACTGTTAGCACACACTACTCTATTGACACTGTGAGGTTGGTATCACTGTAAGCACGCACTACTCTATTGACACTGAGACGCTGGTATCACTGTTAGCACACACTGACACTTAGTGGCTGGGATCACTGTAAGCACACACTACTCTATTGACACTTTGTGGCTGGTATCACTGTTAGCACACACTTCTCTATTGACGCTGAGAGTCTGGTTTCACTGTCAGCACACACTTCTCTATTGACACTGAGAGGTTGGTATCACTGTAAGCAAACACTACTCCATTGACACTGAGACGCTGGTATCACTGTAAGCACACACTACTCTATTGACACTTAGTGGCTGGTATCACTCTAAGCACACTCTACTCTATTGACACTTAGTGGCTGGTACCACTGTTAGCACACACTACTCTATTGACAACCTGTGACTGGTATCACTGTAAGCTTAGTGGCTGGTATCACTGTAAGCACATACTTCTCTATTGACACTTAGTGGCTGGTATCACTGTAAACCCACACTGTTCTATTGACACTTAGTGGCTGGTATCACTGTAAACCCACACTGTTCTATTGACACTTAGTGGCTGGTATCACTGTAAGCACATACTTCTCTATTGACACTTAGTGGCTGGTATCACTGTTAGCACACAATACTCTATTGACACCCAATGGCTGGTATCACTGTAAGCACACACTGCTCTATTGACACTTAGTGGCTGGTATCACTCTAAGCACACTCTACTCTATTGACACTTAGTGGCTGGTATCACTGTAAGCACACACTGCTCTATTGACACTTAGTGGCTGGTATCACTGTAAACCCACACTGTTCTATTGACACTTAGTGGCTGGTATCACTGTAAGCACATACTTCTCTATTGACACTTAGTGGCTGGTATCACTGTAAACCCACACTGTTCTATTGACACTTAGTGGCTGGTATCACTGTAAACCCACACTGTTCTATTGACACTTAGTGGCTGGTATCACTCTAAGCACCCACTACTCTATTGACACTTAGTGACTAGTATCACTGTTATCATCCACTACTCTATTGACACTTAGTGACTAGTATCACTGTTAGCACACACTACTCTATTGACAACCTGTGACTGGTATCACTGTAAGCAGACGCTCCTCTATTGACACTTTGTGGCTGGTATCACTGTAAGCACACACTACTCAATTGACGCTGAGAGGCTGGTATCACTGTAAGCACACACTACTCTATTGACACTGAGAGGCTGGTATCACTGTAATCACACACTATTATATTGTCACCTTGTGGCTGGTATCACTGTAAGCACACACTACTCTATTGACGCTGAGAGGCTGGTATCACTGTTATCACAAGCTACTCTATTGACACTTAGTGGCTGGTATCACTGTAATCACACACTATTATATTGTCACCTTGTGGCTGGTTAGTGGCTGGTATCACTGTAAGCACACACTACTCAATTGACGCTGAGAGGCTGGTATCACTGTAAGCACACACTACTCTATTGACACCTTGTGGCTGGTATCACTGTAAGCAGACGCTACTCTATTGACACCTTGTGGCTGGTATCACTGTAAGCACACACTACTCTATTGACACTGAGAGGCTGGTATCACTTTAAGCACACACTACTCTATTGACACTGAGAGTCGGGTATCACTGTAATCACACACTATTATATTGACCCCTTGTGGCTGGTATCACTGTAATCAAACACTACTCTATTGACACTGAGAGGCTGGTATCACTGTTATCACAAGCTACTCTATTGACACTTAGTGGCTGGTATCACTGTAATCACACACTATTATATTGACACCTTGTGGCTGGGATCACTGTAAGCAGACACTACTCTATTTGACAGTTATTAAAGGTAATATAACAGACAAATCAGTACCTCAAAAAACAAAAAGAAATAAATATTTTACCTTTTACACCAAACATACGGGTTTATTCCTAGCGTTCGACACACAAAGTCACACTTACTTGAAACAGCAACAGGTTTTGGTGTCGTCACGATAGGAGCAGGTGTAGTTGGAGCCGGTGTCGGTTTCGGAGTTTGTGTCGGTCTCGAAGTTTGTGTCGGTCTAGGAGTATGTGTCGGTACAGGAGTAGGTGCATGTGTGGAAGGCATGGGTGTAGTAGGCGCGTGCGTTGTATCAGGTCTGGCAGTTTCCCGAGGAGTGGTAGGCTTAGTCGATATGTGTTCATATCCTGATCGAAAAGGATATTTGCATTGCACTGTTTATAGGTTGTTATGACATATGCATTTTTTTTATCTGTGACAATGATGACGTCATAGGTTTGTTTGATTGGGGTTTAACTGCCTTGCGCAGCCAGGGTCATATGGGACGAGTTCCGAGGAAGGCATCGCCGAGAAGAGACAGTGGATAGAAAAGAAAGAAGACGCGAAAGATAGGAAACGAAAAAGCACCCAAGTGTTGCAATGGAGATAGCAGTTAGCAGAAGGCAAAGGAAAAGACACGATTATTCAGTGGGCCCACAGCAGTCACCTGACGACGTCCCGATGATGTCGTGACAAAATACGATACACTGATTTATAAAGCATGCTGTAATGGGACACAGTGATTGTATGGGGCTACATTGGACGTGGCAATGGTTTGGTATAGTTGGTGCATGGTGTGAATGGGCAAAGATTAAACGAAACCTCTTTATCTCAAAATTCGAACTGTTGCTGAAATTTCCTGATTCAAGATATACCGGTTTTTTTATAACTACGTACCAGTTATTGGCTTTCGGACGTCAGTCTAGCTTCACGAATAAGTCCAAAAAAAGACATTTTTAGGAAATAGCAAACACTCTATAAAGCAATAGAAAACGACTGATATCAAACATATCTAAATGAGGAAAATGCACACAGAATGAATGTCGTAAAATCCTGCTTTAATGAGTAAACATAATGCATATCTTCTTTCATTTAACAAATGAATCGCTCACAAATGTCTTATTTCTCTGGATTTGTAGTGTTAGTGTAACACTAAACATTCAATCATTTTGAAAACGGCATAGGTGTAAATAATCTTTTTGAGATATTTCTGTTGTTGAATAAAATCATTTCCAAAGGATGGCTACCCTCAAAAACCAATAGTAGAGTTCCATCAATGGGAGACCGGGACCGTTCCTCCCGACATGAGGGTGCTGATTAAAATGAGCTGGCGTCTGATCTCGTGAAAATAGTCACTAACTCGGTTAGACGCGAACATTAAAAAGGACGCCATCCGACCTCCAGTACATTAAAAAGGGCGCCACCCGGCCTCTAGTACATTAAAAAAGGACGCCATCCGACCTCTAGTATATTAAAAAGAACGCCAACCGCCTCCAGTATATTAAAGGACGCCATCTGGCCTCTAGTACATTAAAAAGACGCCACCCGGCCTCTAGTACATAAAGGGACGCCACCCGGCCTCTAGTACATTAAATGATGCACCCGGCCTCTAGTACATTAAATGACGCCACCCGGCCTCTAGTACATTAAAGGACGCCACCCGGCCTCTAGTACATTAAAGGACGCCACCTGGCCTCTAGTACATTAAAGGACGTCATCCGGCCTCTAGAACATTAAAGGACACCACCTGACCTCTAGTACATTAAAGGACGCCAACTGGCCTCTAGTACATTAAAGGACGCCACCCGGCCTCTAGTACATTAAAGGACGCATACTGGCCTCTAGTACATTAAAGGACGCATACTAGCCTCTAGAACATTAAAGGACGCCACCTGGCCTCTAGTACATTAAAGGACGCCAACCGGCCTCTAGTACATTACAGAATTACATGTCTCTGCGTCTGAAGGTCATCTTTATCTGATGATTTGGTCGAAATGTATGTTTTCGGGTCCAAAATACATGTAGTCCCCGTATCGGAGATAACTGGTTCACAGTAAATCCCAAGATCAGCGATAACTGGTTCACAGTAAAAGTCTTACTCGGGTAAATGTACATGACCAACAGATAGGTCAAGGTTAGAGGTCACAAACAGGTCACCGAGTACAGGACAAAACATAAACAAAAGCACATGGCACTGAACGACTGACACGTGGACGATGCCCCAGCTGGACCACTAAGTTTGAGGGCGATCCATCCGACTTAGATAAACCACAAAGGAGAGCTCTGGTATCCGATCGCCTCCAGTGACCTAGTACGTGATTTTAAAAGTGCTCACTAAGATGGGAAAATAAGATTGACTCAATTCTTCACATCACGAATGTTTTCAGAGAACACGTGACCAGGGTACACTTTCAACAAAACACTTCAAACTACAGATTCAGTCCGAGTCAAAGTGTCGAAGACAGATGCCGTGGAGTACCAAGGGACGACAGATGAGTCTTTACCAATAGTAAACATCAACGGTACTATCAAACAAGTGTTATTAATCCAAGTTAGAAGAGGGGTACAGCATACAGTCCTTCTTCCATGTTCCAGATCAGTGCATTGCCCTTGTCGATACGGGTTTCCTGAGGAGGTAAGCGACCCCAACCACTGAAGATCTTGAGAAAAAGAATGGATTTGCCCTCACATGGGCCACTTATGCAGAAAAAAACTATTCTCCATTATTCGCAGTAGACATCCACACTGTAGTGTAATCAGGGTGTTGAAAAAAATTGGGACTGTTTGAAAGATGGCGGCTGCGTAAAACAAGTAGAAGGTGAGTTCTCAAAACATGTCCGATTTTTCTACTTGAAAACGTTTTAGCGATCAACGGATGCACTGAAGCAAAAGATAATAGATCAGAGTGTTATCAGATGCTACAATTCCACTCCAGAAAGGCATCTATATTAAAGTGCAGTGTTTGCAAGGTGACGGGAGCCGGCAATCGGGACATTCAGTCGACGACGAGTTTGATTTTAGTTAATAAAACGGATTCAAAAATTAGTTCTGGGTATTTATGGACCAATGATATAGGTTAAGAAGCCTTCAAACAAAATCTAAACTGGTTTCAAAAGTAGCAAGTAGCAATATGCATTTTAAAGAGGTGACATAGATTTATATTTGTACGGTTTGGACACTCCGTAACTTACGACTGTGTGCGGTTGTGACATTGCATGCAGCGTTCTAAAATTGTAAACGGTGGGGACTGCATATTCGCACAAAGTGATTGAGCGGTTGCAGATACAAAGAAACATTGCTGTTACGAATGTAGCTTTGGGGATGACAATCCGCAGAATATCATTGACAGTTTATGCTCAATCATGGAAACAAGACATATTGAAAATTCGAAGTACAAAACTGTATTTTAGTTCATTCGTCTCATTAGTCTCTGATGAAAGTGGTTCATATGTTCTTGATATTGACCCAGAGCCAGCTGTACTGTCAACGTTATCGTCCAAGGACATGCCAGCAAAGCTTGTTTCCAATTCCTCGTCATAATTGTGCTGTGACAATACAGCTAGTTTTGGGTCAATATCAAGAACATATGAACCGCTTTCAGCGGGAACTAATGAGAATATACTTGAAGGATTATTTTGGGGAATGATACTACAATTATGTGTCTGTAAACTATTGTTTTCCATAAGAAGGATCAAGTTTTGTGCTTCAAATTTTCAATTTGTTTTTCCAAGATTGAGCATGAATGGTCAATGATATTCTGCAGATTTTTATTCCCAAGGCTACATTCGTAAGAGTTGTGCAGCTCCTCAATTATAGGAAACATATGGAGACATTCGTGATGGATGTCGAGTACACAGATGAAGTGATGTTTTCTTCATTATCATACAGTCCGTCACTCTAGTTCCAGATCAGTACATTGCCTTGAACGGCACATAAAACTGGAGTGCATCCTTTGATATCAACGGAAGGACAGCTGCCGAGGTGATAGGTTTGATGGTGTCATGAACCTGAAATCTGAAACCTATTACACAGCCACAGTTGATCTGATGCCACATCCGGGTTCTATGGACATTGGGAAAACGGTGTTTCATATAGTACCCGAGACTCGGGAAGCACTCAATCATAAATTTTGAAAGATGTTGGCAAATCAGTTTCAGTAATAAAAGAAGTGCTTCAGCGAATGGCCACATTCACATCTGAAGTGTCACGTGTTTTAATTATGAAAGTTAGTGGAAGAATCCTTCCGTAAGACTATTGTTTTCCATCTGGGGACTTACTGTGAACCAGTTAACAATGATCTGGGGACTTACTGTGAACAAGTTAACACTGATCTGGGGACTTACTGTGAACAAGTTATCTCTGGTCTGGGGACTTACTGTGAACAATTTATCACTGATCTGGGGACTTACTGTAAACCAGTTATCACTGATCTGGGGACTTACTGTGATCAAGTTATCACTGATCTGGGGACTTACTGTGATCAAGTTATCACTGATCTGGGGACTTACTGTGATCAAGTTATCACTGATCTGGGGACTTACTGTGATCAAGTTATCACTGATCTGGGGACTTACTGTGATCAAGTTATCACTGATCTGGGGACTTACTGTGATCAAGTTATCACTGATCTGGGGACTTACTGTGATCAAGTTATCACTGATCTGGGGACTTACTGTGATCCAGTTATCACTGATCTGGGGACTTACTGTGATCAAGTTATCACTGATCTGGGGACTTACTGTGATCAAGTTATCACTGATCTGGGGACTTACTGTGATCAAGTTATCACTGATCTGGGGACTTACTGTGATCAAGTTATCACTGATCTGGGGACTTACTGTGATCAAGTTATCACTGATCTGGGGACTTACTGTGATCAAGTTATCACTGATCTGGGGACTTACTGTGATCAAGTTATCACTGATCTGGGGACTTACTGTGATCAAGTTATCACTGATCTGGGGACTTACTGTGATCAAGTTATCACTGATCTGGGGACTTACTGTGATCAAGTTATCACTGATCTGGGGACTTACTGTGATCAAGTTATCACTGATCTGGGGACTTACTGTGATCAAGTTATCACTGATCTGGGGACTTACTGTGATCAAGTTATCACTGATCTGGGGACTTACTGTGATCAAGTTATCACTGATCTGGGGACTTACTGTGATCAAGTTATCACTGATCTGGGGACTTACTGTGATCAAGTTATCACTGATCTGGGGACTTACTGTGATCAAGTTATCACTGATCTGGGGACTTACTGTGATCAAGTTATCACTGATCTGGGGACTTACTGTGATCAAGTTATCACTGATCTGGGGACTTACTGTGATCAAGTTATCACTGATCTGGGGACTTACTGTGATCAAGTTATCACTGATCTGGGGACTTACTGTGAACCAGTTATCACTGATCTGGGGACTTACTGTGAACCAGTTATCACTGGTCTGGGGACTTACTGTGAACAAGTTATCACTGATCTGGGGACTTACTGTGATCAAGTTATCACTGATCTGGGGACTTTCTGTTATCAAGTTATCACTGATTAGGGGACTTACTGTGATCAAGTTATCACTGATCTGTGGACTTACTGTGAACCAGTTATCACTGGTCTGGGGACTTACTGTGAACCAGTTATTACTGGTCTTGGGACTTACTGTGAACCAGTTATCCATGATCTGGGGACTTACTGTGATCAAGTTATCACTGATCTGGGGACTTACTCTGATCAAGTTATCACGGATCTGGGGACTTACTGTGAACCAGTTATCACTGGTCTGGGGACTTACTGTGAACCAGTTATAACTGATCTGGGGACTTACTGTGATCAAATTATCACTGATCTGGGGACTTACTCTGATTAAGTTATCACGGATCTGGGGACTCACTGTGAACCAGTTATTACTGGTCTGGGGACTTACTGTGAATAAGTTATCACTGGTCTGGGGACTTGCTGTGAACAAGTTAACACTGATCTGGGGGCTTACTGTGAACCTGTTATCACTGGTCTAGGGACTTACTGTGAACAAGTTAACACTGATCTGAGGACTTACTGTGAACAAGTTATCACTGATCTGGGAACTTACTGTGATCAAGTTATCACTGATCGGGGGACTTACTGTGATCAAGTTATCACTGATATGGGGACTTACTGTGAACCAGTTAAAACTGATCTGGGGACTTACTGTAAACAAGTTAACACTGATCTGAGGACTTACTGTGAACCAGTTATCACTGATCTGAGGACTTACTGTGAACAAGTTAACACTGATCTGAGGACTTACTGTGAACCAGTTATCACTGGTCTGGGGACTTACTGTGAACCAGTTATCACTGATCTGAGGACTTACTGTAAACCAGTTATCACTGATCTGGGGACTTACTGTGAACCAGTTATAACTGATCTGGGGACTTACTGTGAACCAGTTATCACTGGTCTGGGGACTTACTGTGAATCAGTTATCACTGGTCTGGGGACTTACTGTGAACAAGTTAAAACTGATCTGGGGACTTACTGTGAACCAGTTATCACTGGTCTGGAGACTTACTGTGAACCTGTTATCACTGGTCTAGGGACTTACTGTGAACAAGTTAACAATGATATGGGGGACTTACTGTGAACCAGTTATCACTGGTCTGGGGACTTACTGTGAACCAGTTATCATTGGTCTGGGGACTTACTTTGAACCAGTTATCACTGGTCTGGGGACTTACTGTGAACCAGTTATATCCGATCTGAAGTTGAATTCATACAAAAGTAAATCGAGAAAGAGAAATAAGTACTTCCTCAAATCAATATGATTTGTCAATAACTAATAAAGCACTTAATTCAACAAACCGTCAATCATGACAAAGGTCTATAATATGTCAAATCTTGTCACATTCAATCATGACATAGGTCTATGATATGTCAAACCAGTCACTGTCGATCACGACATAGGTCTATAGTATGTCAAAGCTTGTCACATCAAATCATGACATATGTCTATAGTATGTCAAAACCTGTCACATTCAATCATGACATAGGTCTATAATATGTCATAACCTGTCACATTCAATCATGACATATGTCTATAATATGTCAAACCCAGTCACTGTCGATCACGACATAGGTCTATAGTATGTCAAAGCTTGTCACATTCAATCAAGACATAGGTCTATAGTATGTCAAACCCAGTCACTGTCGATCACGACATAGGTCTATAGTATGTCAAAGCTTGTCACATTCAATCGTGCATATGTCTATAGTATGTCAAAACCTGTCACATTCAATCATGACATAGGTCTATACTATATCAAACCCAGTCACTGTCGATCCCGACATAGGTCTATAGTATGTCAAAGCTTGTCACATTCAATCATGACATAGATTTATAGTATGGCATAACCTGTAACATTCAATCATGACATAGGTCTATAGTATGTCAAAACCTGTCACATTCAATCATGACATAGGTCTATAGTATGTCAAAACCTGTCACATTCAATCATGACATAGGTCTATAGTATGTCAAAGCTTGTCACTGTCGATCACGACATAGGTCTATAGTATGTCAAAGCTTGTCACATTCACTCATGACATAGGTCTATGGTATGTCAAAACCTGTCACCTTCAGGAATTTAGAAATGTATCCTTGGTTCGTTTTTGTCATTCTCGTTCCAAGAAATTGTTCATAAACCTTTTAAAATAATCACATCAATAATAACTGGGTCAGGTTCTGATTTCTGTTTTACTTACTGTTTTACTTACTGTTTTACTGTTTTACTTACTGTTTTACTTACTTTCAATTAGATGAAGAATATCCATTCGACAAACCGAATTCATATTGTCAGCCTTAACGAGTTCCTCCAGATGAGAAACTACAAACAGAAGACATTAGTTAAAAGATTGAAAACAAGAATATCAAGTTTTAGTTTCGAATACAGATTTTCGCGATTGTTTTTTCCAATCCTCCTATTTGAGGTGATTAAAATTTGCAAATATATACATGAATCATGTTGCGGTTGAAACTGGGTTTTTCAATGTTCATGGAAGTATGAACGGGGGAAACTTTACTTACACACCACATGAGCGGCGTTAACGAAGCGAATACTGTTCATGGAAGGTGTGTAAGACAATTGTTACTTTTGTTATAGCTGACGATAATCATTGACAAATAGTTTACAAACAGATTATATTCAATACAAGAAATTAAGCTAATCACAAAATATTTCATTCTTATAATACAGACAATATATCCATTGTTTAAATCAGTCAGTTTAATATCTATTAGTTTTTTAAACTTGCAATGGATTCTTAAAAATATAAAAAGAAATACATGATTTTCAAATATAATCAGAGGACCTCTTTGTATTCATTGCTCTATTCCTTAAGACATCTATATCAATATCTGGTAATTACGACTTAAATAAGGGGTACCTCACCAGTTATACCTACAACTATCGGAGATCCCGTCGAAAACTTCAATTATTTTTTTAAATCCACAATAATATATAGCTCCTAACTATCTCAACACTCTACTCCCTTCCCTTGTCGATAACTCTCACTATAATCGTCGAAACGTTGAAAACTACAACCTACCTAACAACAGACTTGAATTATCTAACGTATCCTTTTTTCCTTCTACTGTTAGACTGTGGAACCAGTTACCTACTAGTATACGACGTAGTGCCACGTTCTCATCATTTAGAAACGCCATTCAAGACGTAAACTTGCCGCTTGTACCAAACCCCTTTTTCTATGGTGATAGGAAAAATAATGTTTTGCATACAAAATTAAGAAACCGTTCTAGTACATTGAAAAGTGACCTGTTTCGTGTTAACCTCATTGATTACCAACGTTGTATATGTGGCTTCCCTATTGAAGACACACACCATTTCTTTTTTACCTGTGATATATATAACGAACAAAGAATTAAGCTTTATCGTGAACTGATTGAATACATGCCTCTTAATTTAACTCTACTTCTATTTGGAGATACATCTCTTTCTTTCTCTAACGATATTCATGCATACTCAGCAATACATTCGTGACTCTAACAGATTCTCGAAGTTATTCCGTCTTTGCGTATTGCAGAGTTGTCTTCTCTTGTGAGCAGGTATTGATTGTTACGTCATTGGTTGTGTGAGAAAATTACGTCGTTTTCTCAAAAATTGATGACGTTACTCTCACAAACCAATGACGTAACAATCAATACCTGCTCACAAGAGAAGATAACTCTGCAATATGCACAGACAGACGGAATATGACAGAGACGGGAATGGCAGACATACTCCGAGCTATGTATCAAAGTTCTGTGAACTAACACCATAATGCCTAGAATAGAAGTAAACGGTACAGAGCTAAATATGGTATTTCCTTTTCGTTATAAACAATATCACAAAATATGTATTTAAGTCCTTCATAACAGTCGTGTTCGTAATCAATCACAGTTTGCTATGTGGTTTACAGAAGGGCAGGGGTCAATCACGCCTTCCAGGATTTATAAACGAGAACCGCAATATGCGAATGTATCTATGGGCCCCAAAACCTACACCAAGCGAGCATTTAGAAAGGTACCTTGACAAGGTAATTCAAAGCAATGACAAAAACTCATTGTTGTTGTTTCATCTTCTATGTAAAGAGAAAATACTCTAAGATAAAAACAAACATGTCTGAATGAAACTTGACTTTGCTAGTATAACTGTTGTAGAGTAGGATATCTGATACACAGGTCTAGAAGGATATTTGATACAGAGGTCTAGTAGGATATATGATACAAAGGTCTAGTAGGATATATGATACAGAGGTCTAGAAGGATATATGATACAGAGGTCTAGTAGGATATCTGATACAAAGGTCTAGTAGGATATACATAAATGTATGATACAGAGGTCTAGTAGGATATATGATACAAAGGTCTAGTAGGATATATGATACAGAGGTCTAGAAGGATATCTGATACAGAGGTCTAGTAGGATATCTGATACAAAGGTCTAGTAGGATATACATAAATGTATGATACAGAGGTCTAGTAGGATATATGATACAAAGGTCTAGTAGGATATATGATACAGAGGTCTAGAAGGATATCTGATACAGAGGTCTAGTAGGATATCTGATACAGAGGTCTAGTAGGATATATGATACAGAGGTCTAGTAGGATATATGATACAAAGGTCTAGTAGGATATCTGATACAAAGGTCTAGTAGGATATACATAAATGTATGATACAAAGGTCTAGTAGGATATATGATACAGAGGTCTAGAAGGATATCTGATACAGAGGTCTAGTAGGATATCTGATACAGAGGTCTAGTAGGATATATGATACAGAGGTCTAGTAGGATATCTGATACAGAGGTCTAGTAGGATATCTGATACAGAGGTCTAGTAGGATATATGATACAGAGGTCTAGTAGGATATCTGATACAGAGGTCTAGTAGGATATCTGATACAGAGGTCTAGTAGGATATATGATACAGAGGTCTAGTAGGATATCTGATACAGAGGTCTAGTAGGATATCTGATACAGAGGTCTAGTAGGATATATGATACAGAGGTCTAGTAGGATATCTGATACAGAGGTCTAGTAGGATATCTGATACAGAGGTCTAGTAGGATATATGATACAGAGGTCTAGTAGGATATCTGATACAGAGGTCTAGTAGGATATCTGATACAGAGGTCTAGTAGGATATATGATACAGAGGTCTAGTAGGATATCTGATACAGAGGTCTAGTAGGATATCTGATACAGAGGTCTAGTAGGATATATGATACAGAGGTCTAGTAGGATATCTGATACAGAGGTCTAGTAGGATATATGATACAGAGGTCTAGTAGGATATCTGATACAGAGGTCTAGTAGGATATCTGATACAGAGGTCTAGTAGGATATATGATACAGAGGTCTAGTAGGATATCTGATACAGAGGTCTAGTAGGATATCTGATACAGAGGTCTAGTAGGATATATGATACAGAGGTCTAGTAGGATATCTGATACAGAGGTCTAGTAGGATATCTGATACAGAGGTCTAGTAGGATATATGATACAGAGGTCTAGTAGGATATCTGATACAGAGGTCTAGTAGGATATCTGATACAGAGGTCTAGTAGGATATATGATACAGAGGTCTAGTAGGATATCTGATACAGAGGTCTAGTAGGATATCTGATACAGAGGTCTAGTAGGATATCTGATACAGAGGTCTAGTAGGATATATGATACAGAGGTCTAGTAGGATATCTGATACAGAGGTCTAGTAGGATATCTGATACAGAGGTCTAGTAGGATATCTGATACAGAGGTCTAGTAGGATATATGATACAGAGGTCTAGTAGGATATCTGATACAGAGGTCTAGTAGGATATCTGATACAGAGGTCTAGTAGGATATCTGATACAGAGGTCTAGTAGGATATCTGATACAGAGGTATAGTAGGATATCTGATACAGAGGTCTAGTAGGATATCTGATACAGAGGTCTAGTAGGATAT